AATGGGAGAGATAGTGACGACGGAGATAGCAGTCCAGGAGACCGAAGAAAAATGAGTGTCAGCGTGTCAGATCCATGCGAATGGATCGCGCGGGTAGGTTGATTAGATGGACCTGAAACCGTAAAATAAAACCTTCATGGACAATCTGCAAAAGGAAGGGGATTTTTAATTCCAACGGAGGCAAATCTACCGTGACAGGCTTTTCTTGGTATGCAGTTATCTTGTGCATGGTGGCATAGCTCGTAGTAGAAGAAGCGCAAGTGAAGGTATGAGAGCCTCTCGCGGCAGAAACACAACCGAATTCATTCCCCGAAATGCGTCTCCTCATCACACGTGTAGTTGACTTGGGACTTCCTTTCCTCGAGGTTAAAATTTAATGGTAGCCCAATTCATCCTTATATCATAGACTTGCATCTCCTTTCTGAACATGATACCACAGGCAAAATCGCCTTTGTTCAATGCTGCTAAAGGAGGCCGTGAGCAAAGCAACAAAAAAGAAAATCTAAGGCGATGCCCAGATTTTCCCCTAGTCGCTTTCGCAAGCATGAGGACGAAATAAAACGGTGGAAATGGAGCCTTTCAATCCGTTTTCCAGTGTCCCGCAAGTCCAGAGTCAATATCATCATGTTTCCCTATCCATAGCTCGACCGCGTACAATGCCATGGTGCAACCAAGATTGATCCATCTCCAGAAATTCCCGGCCCCATCGCCGTGATTGCTCCACCATTCACCATTCCCATTTCCCCCCATTGCTTGGGAGGTGGATGCAAAGTGCTGCATCAACAGACTTGTATACACGGCAATGAGGATGGAAGGGGAAAACCAACTCAGAAGGCCTAGGAATTGGCCAGCAACATCCGAATCCTCCAGGGAGGCCTCCTGGGAAAGGGCGCGGGCTCCGGCCTCGCGAACAGCTGGGATGATTCTTGTGGATGCGTAGAAGACGAATAGTCGATAGGTGAGGGAAATCAGGACCGACGGTGTTACGGCACTGAAGGCCGCGCTTACGACGTTGAAGGCTGCATGGATGATGGAAGGAAGTGTGGAGAGAGCGTGCATGAGAGTGGTATAGGAAGCCATGATGATAGGAGGTAGAGGAGGGAATTCGGCTGTTTGGGAGGCGGATACGGAGAGAGGTTCGGTGGCGGACGTGGAGGATGAGGACTTATAGTCCGTGAAGATCTGGTAGATACACAAGACGACGTAGGCGAAGAGCAGTGAGCTCTCCACCGGGTTTCCTCGTCCACTGCCAATACCCCAGGCGCAAAGGAACACAGCACAGGTAATGGAGACGCCGATTAGGGCTGAATCGACGTTGCTGATTTCGGGGAACTGTAAGACGCGCCAGAGGAAGTAAACGGAACTTGAAATTATGGATGCGGACAGGACTAGAAGGCCAATCTTCACGACACGGAAGAAGTCAGCATTATACATTATAATCACGTAACGCTATATGGATTAAAAAGGAGACCAGAATACACATACCATCCAACTATCGCTTCTCCCGCCTCGATTGACCAACCACCTCGTGATCTGTCCAGCGGCCTGGATGACAAGCAAACTGCAAAACCCCTCCGCCAGTTGGAAAAAAGGAGTTGACCAGCTCAACAGCGTATCCCACCCGCCCACAGTAGCATTCTCTACAAGGCCGTTTGCCCCAAACAACCATCGAACAATCGAAGTATCTTGCGCCCTCTTCCCGCCAAACGTGCGCTCAACCCATCCAACCCGGATACCGCCGGTGGAGCTACCATCACTATCGTTCGCATCGACGGAGAAGCGGTTCAACGACCAAATGAGTAAAGCCGGAACAATAAGCCATTGTGTAGACCTGAGAATGAGGATCACGGAGTTTCGGGTCCACGAGCGATCCGGGGTGGTGAGTCTGAGCAGGGAGAAGAAGAAATAGAAGGCAGCAAGGCACAGGGAGAAACCTAGGCCACAGGTCCTGCCACCAACATCGAAGGCAAGAGGAATCGAGAGCACGATGGACGTGAGGAAGACGGCCGACGAGAAGATTCGGAAGATCCACATCGACGGGGACGGCTGGCGCAAAGAGGCGCTTGCGATAGAGGTTTGGGTCGAGAGATAGATATGGGTTAAAGCAGCACAGGAAGTGCGAGCTTTTGCGGGCGTCTTCGAGGAAGGGGTTTCTTCAAGGGTTATTCCTCGTGTCCTGTTCCAGATATGTTGCACGGCCCGGTTCGTTGGCCGCGTGGAAGGCAGGCTGCAGGAGGGAGCTATTTATGAAGCACGAGGGTGAAGAGCGGTGGGCGGTGTGTGGAGTGAGGTGTGCTGCTGCGGGGAGCTCACGAGGAGCTGGAGCACGCGAGGATTAGCTGTTGAAGCAAGGGATAGGACAAGCACGGGGGGCAATATCTCTGAGGAGGGCGTGAAGCACGTAGAACAAGGGCAAAAGGGAGAGGGCAAAGGTGAAAAACGAATATGGGGATGGAGAGGAGAGGGGAGGCGGAGAGGAAAAGTTGCGAGGCGTGGAGTGGGTTGGTTCGAAAACTCGCTAACTCAATAAATAGGAAGCCGAAAGTATATTTACAGATAAACCTATATATTTAGTTAATTCACTAACTACTGCTAGTAGTTGTCCGCAAGTTGCCAATGGTGAAATGTCCTCTGCCATCCAACTATTGGCATCCAGTCCGGAGCAATGTTGGTTTTCTGGTTGGAATTGAACGAATGGGATATTTAATCCCCGGGCGTCTGTTGGGCTTGTGACCCGGGGGGAAAAC